ATTGTCCAAGCCAAACTGTATCTAATCCAAAAATAAAAATGTACTGTATTGCAACTTACCAGTTCTTAGGTGACAATTTTTTAAAGGCTTTTATTTCTTTATTTTCATCTGGTAACCCTGTAAACAACACACTTTCTGTCCTTCCCCCACTATATTTATGAAGGGATATATCAACAGGTATTTTCTAGAGGTGCACCGAAATAAAAATTTCAAAACCGAAATGAAAAAAAATGTCAAGCCAAAAACATAATATGTTTACTAGACATGTGCGATTCGTTTAGTTCCGGATCAAAATTCGGTACGAAATTTCAGAAATTCGGAGATTCGGATGTAACCGAATTACAGATATAACGACTGTTAACGAATCCGAATTTCTGATTCCGAATTTCCGATTCGTTTTTTTTTTGGACCAACTTTAGTTTTTTGGACGAAATTTTGTTGCAGCAAAGTGACATTTGAGAACAAAAAAACTTGTTTTCCCTCTTAAATGTCACTTTGCTGCAACGAACGAACGAACGAAACAAAACCGAAACAAAATTTCGTATGGATTACCGCTAACGAATTTAGTCCGAATCCGAATTCCGAAACAAATTGACCTTTAGACCCGAATTCCGAAAAACGAAATAAAGCAAAATCCGAATCAAAACTAAACTAAACAGATTTTTGCTGGTGCACATGTCTAATGTTTACTATATCCACAATCATGAATGAACAGGAGGTAATGTAGATCACTTTCCATTCATTCATAATTGAGGATATAGTAAGCATACTCTGTCCTCAATTTTCTCTGATCACTGAGTGTTTGTGCCCGCTCTCCATCCTGACACGCTGCCACAGGAGGCTGGGCGGGGCGGGTGTAGAGCTCGGCCTCCTGTGACAGCAATGGCTGTCTCCGCCCACACCGCTGCGCTCCTGATCTGTGACAGGAGGCTGAGTGGTGCGGGGAGGAGAGACAACGACCGCTCACAACGCTCTCCTCCCGCACCGCTCGGCCTCCTGTGACAGTTTCTCTCCTCCCCGCTTGGACACAGAGCTGCGCCCAGTGGGGAGGAGAGAAATCACAGATGCACTGCTATTTGGGCCAAAATGTTTAAGCGGCCGATATATTGGTGCATCCCTAGTATTTTCTCTACTTGCTGAAAATGCACTTAACCTAGATGAAAACCACTTTCTAAGGACTGATGGGCTGCAATTTACTGATTTTTTGTTGTTTTTCTGGGTTGTTACTCTTCAATGTTGCCACATTTCTAAAACTGATTGCACTCAAGGTTGTCCGATAATGAAGGATTTCATTAATAATACATTGCTATTAAAGATGTACTGGACTGTGAAAATCAAGTAGGCGGTCGTCTGTCCAATAGTGGCTCCTGTATTCATTAAACTTGCAACTGTGGTTTACGGGCTTCATTCATGTAGGAGTTGCTGTCAAATCTCCTTGTACACGGAGTATAAAATGACAGTCAAGTCCCACTTTGTGTATTGTGGTCACTAAAAGCAGCTTCTTGAATGAATGAAGCCTGAAAACAATTGGCTACAAGCTTATTTGTCAATACATTGTTACAATATTTTTAATAGGGATGCACCGATACCACTTTTTTGGGTCTGAGTATGAGTACCGATACTTTTTTTTAAGTACTCGCCGATACCAATTACCGATAGTTTTTCTTAAAGGGGCAGATCACATTTTTTTCCAAAGCAATACAAAATAATGATTTTAGGTCAGTTTCTTAATATTATGAAGAACTGTAACTCAAAAGACAACATGACTGTCAAAAAATAAGTTTACTTTGCTTAAATTGTCACAAAGTTGTACTCAACGAAAGTTAGTAAAATCTCAACGTGCCATTTGAAAAAAGGCCACAAGATGGCGTATGGATAGGATGGAAGCAGATGGAATTGTGTAGAAAAGTGAAAAAACCTTAATTTAGCTTAAGACCTCATTCACACAACTAACAGCCGGCCCATGTTATATTAATACAGCATGGTCAAAGATAAATGAATCTTTATTTTATATAATATTGATTAAGCAATGGAAAAAAACAATTATTTTATATTTATTCATGCTGTATTCACTCAGCTATGATTCCCTGGCTGGAATCCTTTTTTTTGCACCTGCAAGTTGCAATATCACAGGCAAAACCTCTGCTTTTGTTCCAATTATAACTCCACCAAGCTTTCCCAAAAGTAAAAAAAATTATCTTAAACTTACATTTAGGCCTCATTCACATAACTAACTTGATGCATCCCTAATTTTTACCATGTATTTTGGTAAACGCTTATGTGCAAATCAAATTGTCATAGAACCTGCAATTGTAAAAACAAAAAAAATTACAATTGTTTTTAAAAATTAAGTTGTACCTATTTAACCCATTATAAATCTTTAGTTAAACCTAATTTATTAAAGTGACATCAAAGTCACAAATGTTTCCCCTCCCCATGCTGCTTTAAGGACTTACCTTAACTGATGCCTCTTGATCCGATCATCTTCTTCCTTCCACTTGTATTTAACAATCTCTCCATCGCTGGTGCCGGTCTCTGATCCAGCACAGACTCCCTCCCTCCCTCCCTCAAATTACTTTTTTTAAGGTTGGGATCCCTGCAGCATATAGAAAAAGGTATTTCTATTGTGGTTTTATTACATCAAATATTAAGAAATTCAAGAGCAATAATATAGGGATCTTTTATGATGATGTGTGTATTTTAGGGATGCACCGATATATCGGCCGCCGAGCGGTGTGTGGGCAGAGACAGCGCTGTCACAGGAGGCTGAGCTCTCCAGTGACAGAGACAAGAGCGAGGTACACGCACTCAGTGATCAGTGATTGCTGAGTGTTTGTAGATAATTGAGGATATGGTATGTTGGCTATATCCTCAATTATGAATGAATGGGAAGTGATCTACATCACCTCCTGCTCATTCATAGTTGTAGTTATAGTAAACACACTATATTCTCAAGTTATCAATGAACAGGAACACTCAGAAGATTCCTGTTCATTGATAACAGGGGCTGCAGAAAAAGAGATGGAGGACTTTGTGTCCTCCATCTCTTTTTCTATTTTAAAAGGGAAATATCAGGTGTCTGCTTAGATCCCTAATAATATTTCCCAGAAGCCCATAAAAGTAAAGTAAAAAATTAAAATATTTAATAAAAAATGAATAAATAAAAATATATTTTTTAAAGTTTATAAAAAAAAAAAAAAATATTAAAACATTTTCAAAAATTAAAATAAAAACATTTTCGGTACTGGTTTTGGTAAAAGTTTAACACTGGATTAACACTGGATTACTGCACAGATCTAAAGGGGGAAAAAACAAAGCACACCAAGATTCCTATACCGGAGTTTAGCTTTAAACCATCAGCTCTATGAACAAATTAAACCAGATTAGCAAAACATTTTTAAAGCATTGCCCATTCTTTTGATAGCTTTGATATCATTGAGGCCCCATTCACACTGAGCGATTTATCGAGCGATTTTTGCAGCGATATCGCTCATATTTCCACGCGATATCGCTCTATGTAGCTTCTCCAATCCATTTCAATGGAGCTGTTCACATCTCGTCGCTCAATATCGCTCAGTATCGCTTGTAGCTCCTACATGACCCTTTTTTCGAGCGATTTTGCTCCTGATTGCATACAGCCCAATAGGGACAAGTTGCTCAATATCGCTCGTAAAAAATCGCGCAATTTTCATGTCGCTCAGTGTGAATGGGGCCTTAGACTGACAAAGTGATTAACTTCATAAATAACCAATCCCTACTGGTGAATATATTTTCTCATTTTTTGAGGGATGGGAGGGATATATTAAGAGGAAATGTAGAACCCAGAAACAGATGTCTTCTATCGATATCAGCCTTACACGATTTATAACACTAATTCGAGAGAAATAAATCTAGTAGTTTTTCCTGTAATTATATAAATAGCAAATAACTATGCTGTATCAAAGTTAGTGTATTTTAGTACACAGGTAAGAAATAGGACTCTGTTGTGCAGGTGGAAAAAACAAGGCAGGCTCAAATTATTTAACACACTCTTTGGCAGTCTTTAGATATTGCACAAATGTAGTATACACTTATTTGCCCAGCAGTGCTATGAGGAAATCTGCTGCAGTATCTTGCTGCAGGGCTGTTGCTATGATTGCGAAAGATCTGGCATACCCATAGGCAATCAAAGGAGAACAATGAAGCGGCGCACATAAAATTGCCGAAACAAGCTGCAGGTATCCTAGGTTATTTGGTTACTGTTTGCTTACCAAACTAATTGCCAATTTTCATTTTCAATTATTATTCTTATCAAATATGTGGCAGACTCCCGGATACCCCATCTAGGTATCTCCGTCAGAAGACTGCTTCCTCACCGCTCAGACACAGGAACAAGTGATAATAGCAGGAATTCATCCAATAACTAGACAGTAGTATTGAGTGAAAGCAGGACTGACTTTTATTAGGAAGCAGCACCACAATTTATACACAAACTAATACTCACAAGAGTAATGATCACATCACAAAAGATACTGTCCACCCAGACATCCTGGTGCCTAAACACAGAGTTCAATGTTCAGGGATACCCACAGGGGCACATATAGTTCCTTTTGGGGTGATCCTGAGAGAGCGGCGGGGTTCACGGGGGATATAGTTCAATAGCTCCAGTCTCTTCAGAGGCTGGGAACTAAA